AAAGTGATGGAATAAATTCACTGTGACACAGCTTCCATGGCAAAAGGATAATACTAAGACATTTGAAATCATGCTGGAAAAAAAAAAGGTTCTGGATCTAAAACTTCATCTTTCTTTGTTAGAGGAAAGACAGAAATATGACAGGAAATGTCCACTACTCAACTGAGTGACAATTGAAAGTAGCCCGTTGTTTAATGTAGCCAACAAATGTTTAGCATGTAGTGAAGACTAAAATTATTATTTTAAAGCAACATTTTGAAGACAGCCATACACCTAAATGAACTGAGCCCTGCTTTCGGAGCTTGTGGCACTCTTTTATTTATATTTGTTGTTTGTGACTTTCTGTTTATTTATATTCTTTAACTTGCTGTCACCTGTGGCATATAAATAGCTTGTGGAAGTTAGTTTACTGGCTGAAATACTCGCAGTCCAAGATTGAATGCATTTTTTTTCTTTTTTACTCGGTCTGTAAATCAGTCCAAAACGAGGCGGTCTGACAGCTTGTTCTGAAATGGACTGTCAACAAAATAAATACAGTGCACTAAGTGGATTTATACAGTCCACCATACGGTGCTTCCACAGTTCAGTCTGGACATAAGGCACTGCTTTCCACAGCTGGGGGTTTTTCTCCTTGTTCCAGCCTCTGCAGTCACATAAATGATGGTGAGTAGTTCTGCACCTGCCTTCTCTTATCGATATGTGGGTCTCTGCCTCTCTCACACACACAGTCATTAAAAAAGGCATATAAGACCAGTGCGAAAGTGGAGCAGAACTGACCCATTTTACTGGTTATGGATGAAGTTATGAGGGTGGTTAAAGTGGCTTCACTGTGTGACACACTCACTGCAAACCACTCCATGTTCAACAAGCTCTAATTGATTAGTAATTTCCTTCCTACTGTGTTGATTTTAATGAAAGCTAGAAATTTCCTCCCTACAATCTTTGACAGTAAAACAGGAATTAATGGACAACTCTTTTCAAGATACAGAATTGCTTCAATACTTTCTAGATAAAGAAGCATGTGGTCATTGTAAATATGCACAAATATTCTTGAAATGTTCTGAAAAAGTATTTACAAATTTCTTTCATTTCTTTTTGCTTTACTATTAAGGTTAAATGCATCCTGACAGTATTTAAAACATGTTTAAGTCTGGACTTCTTTTTTTTTATTTTTATTTTACTTTTTGTCAGTTTATATGTGGACTCACTGGTTTCCTGCATGTCTGAAATGAACTTGATCTTATACTATATATATATATATATATATATATATATATATATATATATATATATATATATATATATATATATATATATATATATATATATAAAATCCCTTCTCACCCACCGCGGGTGGTCTTATCCTCTGAGCTCGGGTCCTCTACCAGAGGCTGGGAGCTTGAGGGTTCTGCGCAGTATCTTGGCTGTGCCAAGGACTGCACATTTCTGGACTGAGATGTCTGATGTTGTTCCTGGGATCTGTTGTAGCCACTGCTCCAGTTTGGGGGTTACTGCCCCGAGGGCCCCGATGACCACAGGCACCACTGTGGTCTTCACCTTCCAGGCCCTCTCCAGTTCTTCCCTGAGGCCCTGGTATTTCTCCAGTTTCTTGTGCTCCTTTTTCCTGATGTTGCAATCACTTGGTATTGCTACATCTACCACAACGGCTTTCCTCTGATGTTTATCCACTACGACAATGTCTGGTTGGTTCGCCATTACCATTCTGTCTGTCTGGATCTGGAAGTCCCACAGGATCTTAGCTCTGGCGTTCTCCACCACCTTTGGGGGTGTTTCCCACTTTGATCTCGGGGTTTCCAGTCCATATTCTGCACAGATGTTTCTGTACACTATGCCTGCCACTTGGTTATGTCGTTCCATGTATGCTTTCCCTGCCAGTATCTTACACCCTGCTGTTATGTGCTGAACTGTCTCAGGGGCCTCCTTGCACAACCTGCACCTTGGGTCTTTTCTGGTGTGGTAGATCTGGGCCTCTATTGCTCTGGTGTTTAGGGCCTGTTCCTAAACACCAGACAAATATTGCAGAAAAGAATATTTGTTTCACCTCTACCAAAGAAAATTCATACTGGATGAATATTTTTCCCAGTACTAGTTTTTTTCCTAATATGTAATGAAAAATTAAATCTGCTACATTTCACAGACTTATTCTTTATTTTAAAAGAATCACTTATCTGCTTCGTTTATACTCTTCAGAGGATCATTTGCAGTACTAATCTCATTTTCAAACACAGAGCTTCCCCTTTTATTACATTGTATCTTTTTTGTATTTAATGCTTACAAAGTATATCAGCTGCAGCAGGAAGTCTCTAAATTCACTGTGACACAGCTTCCATGGCAAAAGGAGAATATTAAATGCAGCTAATAACATAGATAAAATTACACAGCAGTGCTGGATTTCATGCAGTGTCATTTCCTCTTAATGCCATGCACATACGCCACAGGCTATTTAGATGTCAGCTTTTTTCTCAAATCGAGCAAAATTGAATAAGAGACAATGTTGTTTCAGATTTAAATGTTATAAAGTATTATTTAGCTGTACATGCAGTGTATGTGGGAAATATAAAAAGGCTGTAAGAGGGACAAGAACTGATATGCAAAGAGGCAAAGTTTCATTATTTTTGGTTGTAACGCCAACTTTATCATCCACTCTAAAAAGGAATGTAATCTTGTAGCTGGTCAGAAATCAGCCTTCAAACTTTAAAACATCTTAATCATGAAAGATGCAGCATGTAACTTTTATAAAAAATGTTTCAGTTTTCTCCATCTCCTTCCTGTGTGCAATTGTACTGAAATGCATCACTCCTGACCAAAAACAACCAATGAGAGCCAGAAGAAGGGTCTTGACGCTGTCAATCAACGTCATGTACTCTCTACTAAATGTGCCAAAGGCAGAGGAACAGCTAACCATTACAAAAATTGCTAATCCTCTTATTGATGAGCATGCTAACTAGCCTGAGCATTCACTGTAGGCTCTGCTAGCTGCAGCATAGCAAAGAGCAAGAGGGGTGAAAATGGGTATAAGCAACACCACACAGAGGGTGATTGACAGCACTAATACCCTCCTCTTGGCTCTGATTGGTTGTTTGGAGATAGCACTGGGAGAAGGCACAGGAGCTTGATGGGTTTTTTCATTGATTATCTGTCTCATACTACTTTCAACAAATGTATAGAAAAATTTTTTCATAAAAAAGTTGCATACTGCAGCCTTAACGTTGCATAATGTTAAAAGACTATTACATCATACGTTGTGTGAAATATCTTATTTAGCAAGACATATTTCATCCTATTTTAACTTGATTGTGCCACTGAAACGGGTATCTACAGCTGTAAACTATTTTCCGTACTCTTCAATGGAAGGTTTTGATATTTTTTATGTAAACATAAAAAATAACTACAGAGAAATTACATCAAAAAGATAATAATTCTGCTGCAGAAAAGGGTAAATTTTTACTACCACTTGTTTGTGTTTTCTACTCATGTAATCATCCATTGTATGCCAGCTTATTTCACACTGTTCTTAAGTAGTGTGGTGAATTATAGACATAAGGTATGGTATAATTTCATTTAACAGTTAATAATTTTATGTTGCACCTTTTTTCCACAAATTGTCATTCTGATTCATTCTTGGGCTTTTCAAAATATGAAACATTTTGACCCCCAACTGTTTTTTTTTTCTGTCACAGCAAATAATTTATCTAATTCACAAAACCAAAATTGCTCACAGTTTGATTGTGAGTAGTTTACAGAAGCTTTCTTTAAATCATCGGCTGTTGAAGCAGGTCCAAACACATCAGAGGTGGATACAAATTGATGTGTTGTCGGTGTGAAATGTCCTGTGGCAAAAGGCTCATATTTGCACTTGTAAAAGTCAGTTGGCAAATCTTCAAATGCATGAAATGTCAAAATGAGCTGGACTCAATTGGTTTGATCGACCAAACATTCCCACTTGTCTCCAGCAGAGCCGGTAACTGCTGTCCATCTGGACCTCTTTGCACTCTGTTTTTGTGTTCTTATCAATCGGTCTGCCGCACACAGAGCAGAGCAGAATGTGAAGAGACAAAGTGTGAATAATTTTAATAGCGATGGATACAATAATGAGACAAAGTGGTTTGCAAATTAATAGGAAAGGTGTTGGGAAAGATTAATCACAGTTCTTTCAAAAAACTCTTTTTAGCTTTTTTCTGGATGCTTCCTCAACTTTATCAATTTCTTGATGTTTAAGGAGAAATTGTTCATTTAAGGTGTCATCAGCGCTGATCATTTTTGAGTACTTAGGTATTGTGATTAAATGAGGTTAAATGCATTGAAATGCTTTTTTTTTAATGCCAGCAAGAATAGTTGGCATAAATCTTTTTCTCTCAAAAGTCTCACTTTGTCTTTTCATCAATTAATAATTTATTTTGTCACATAGTATTTCCTGAATACTTAAATTTTATATTGTTATTTCTGTAAAATCACACACATCTTTGTCACAAACACATTGGAAACTGTGCATATGGTCATTATGGTTGAACAAAAAGCAAAAGCAAAAATAATCTTCCAATATAAGGCGTGTATGGCTCAGAGTTGGAGGAAAGTGAAGGACAAACTTCAATATTAAACTCACCTTAGAGCAGAAAGCATTGGTGCAATGTTTAGTGTAATAAAGCCCGTTTATGTTTGCGTCAGGAGTTGGGCGGATAATCCTCCATAGATCTCAGGTCCAGTTAATAATAATAATAATAATAATACTAATAATAATAATAGTGTGTTGGAGCTGAGGGTTCAGACTGGCTGTCGTGCTTGGAGAAAGCAGCTTCTGCTCAACATTCTCTTTAAGTAAGAAGAGAAGAGACAAAGACTTTGGCATATTCTGTTGGATTTATCTTGGTGCTCAGCTGCATTGAATCAGTGTTCCTGTCAGAACAAGATCAAGCAAAGAAAAAAATGTGTTTGAGCCTATGTCGTTAACATAACCTTCTTCTCTGGTTTGTTGTTGGCAGGATTTACGAGCGGGTGATAGACCCTCCTCAGATGGAGCTCACCTTAGGCAGTGGAGTGTGGCTAGGCCAACACAGCCACAAACACGGCTTGTTCAAGGTAAGCTTCCTCCCCCAGTACAGCACGCACACACTTACATTCTGCTTGTAACTGAACCTGCTTCACATTCAGTAACGCCTGGTGTAATTGAACAAATTTGCAAAAAGGTGTGGGTGTGTGTGTGTGGAAGAAACACAGGAATAAAATTCTGAAACAGAAGTGCTGGGGGCTCAGAGAAACTGCACAAAGCTCAGCGTGAGCTTTGAAATGCTTATTCCCAAGGCCATCACAATGTTGTCAATTTCTAATTGTTACTCATTTTCTCAGGCTTCTGCATGCACTCACAGCTGGCAGGGGACATGGGAGAGCCGAACCAGGACATGCACACAGTTTTGATATTCATAGCTCTCCCTCCCACCTGCCATGCAATCAGTGAGCTTTCTATTTTTCTTTTGTAACATATTGATTAACTGCAAAGCCCCACTGCGGTGAAAATTATTTCTCCTCCCCATGCTTTAAAACTATTGTTGCTGCACTGGAGCACTGTCCGTCTTCCAGCTCTCCCCCTTTGATTCTTTTTATTTTCTGTCTGCTGTTTCGCCAAAACTGAGAAAACTGCGACATGCTAGTCTTAAATGTAACATTTCAATCAGCCACTTCCTTTCCTTCAGTCATGTCAAGCATGTGCTGGTGCACATGTGCACGCAGCAGTTCAACGTGATGTCAGGTGCGTTGACAGATGGTGTGAAAGAGCGGAACCCCGTGTGAAGTGACAGCGAATGAGGAAATTTTCCCCTCAGGTTCGTTCTAGTATCATTGTCTCTCGGCTGACAGCTGCCCTGGTAACACACTAAATCAAGGTGCTGCTGTTTAGTGTATCACAAGGGCCATTTTGAGCTGCAGCTTGTTTTGAAAGTACCAATATACATCTCTGGAAAATCACTCGGGTCATTCTTCAGTGTGGCAGTAAAGGGAAATGACTGGTGACAGTTCCAGCACACCGTTCTGATTTTGCAACACAAATTGCTTTTTGTGCTATTTTTAGAAAATGTTTTTGTATATTCAAGCTTTACAAACAGCAGCAGATTTATTTTCTTCATTTATTTATTTATTTTTTACATGCCTCTGCTATGTAAAAGGCATACTCTCAATTTAAGGTATTGATTTTGATGCATAAATCAGATTTAATCCTTTTCCTAATTGTCAATAGCTGCATTTCTATTGAGAAATTTGCCTTTTTGAAATAAATTTGCTCAATGGAAACAAACCAATTTAAATAAAAACTTGTTTTGTGATAAAGAAAAAATAGCAGTAGAGGTGGGTGTTTATTTTCATCTTTATCAAAACTGTAATAGACACACTTTTTTTTTCATCTCGCAAGTCACATGATCAACAACCAGATGTTGCCACTGGCACAAATCACAAAGAAAACAACAAGACCCAGTTGCAGAATGTGGCATGATTTATCTCAAGAAGAAACTTATTCCTGTGTCATTCTGTGTTTCTCACTTAATGGAGAAAATTACAAAATTGTGATTTTTGGACAGTTTGGCACACATTTGTAATGGAAACACAACACATTTATTTTAAAAAAATATATTTTTTAAATTACATCTTTTAATTTTAGGATGGTTCATCAAAGATGGCTACCCTAGTAATCTCTTCTTTGGTTAAGTTGCTTTTGTATGTTTAGGCGAACAAAACTTTTTGTTCACTGAAAGCTGTGCTTTGGTATTGTGTAGCTGGTCTTTGTGAATATATATTTTTTGTTGAAAACCTGAGGCACAAGTTGATTAGGTTTGTCCCTAAGAAGCCTATAAAACCCCATCCTTCATTTCAGGTGAGTTGTATTCATATCCCAAGGGACAACTGGTTTGCAGCAAGCATAAGGAATAAAAATGCAGAAGCCTTTCACTGTTTTGCTTCAGGAGCTTGGGTCACAGGAGTAACAGGTCCAGCAGGGAACCCCAGACAACTGGAGGATGTCACTGGGAAGCAGTCCAGTCCCACTCCATCTCATTCCAGTTCCCAAGGCCTTTCTTATTTCAGGCAGTATCTTTCCACTGGGAAACGCCTGGAAAACCTCCAGAGGAGGCACCTTGATCAACTGGCTCCTTTTGATGTACCAGTAGAAACTACTTTGGGAATAAAATTACTTTAAATCTTCTTACACAGAATATTTATTTATATTCATACTGGTTAGATTTTTATTGTGGTAAAAGCACAATTTTGAACCTGAATATAAATGTTTTGTAGGAGAGTCTCAGAATATCAACAATAGTTTAGAATTCCAGTAGGATCTTTTCCTTTCAGGTTGACATTTTATTTAAAATGCCTTCCATCTTCCTGTTTTACTTTTTTGTTATTTTTACATTTTAGAAGATGTTTTTGCAAGGTGTTCTCCGCTGTATTGATTGAGAGTATTAAATAGTCAAACGGAAACTTGAAAACATGGAAAAAGGCGAGTTGGATTTTGTAATAAGACATAAAAGGAAAATGTAAAAAGGAAAAGACATCCAAAGTTTGTTAAATCAAGTGGGACTTTTTATCAGACTTTAAGGAAATCACAAACATTGGAGTTGTGGAAGGATTTAAGATTGCAGGTATGCATCTTTTTACTATTCTCTCCATACTGTGGCAAATTACACTTCAGTTTAACCTGTAAAAGATGAGGAGGCATGTGTAAGGCTTAGCGACCATTGAGAAGCAAGAGGTGAAGGGAAGAGGAAAAATAGCCACGAGCTATGAATGTAACACAGTTGATAGGAGTTGAAATAAAGCAGCAGGTGCAGTCCATCCTACTCAGGACTTGAGAGGGATAATGATAAGATGAGCTAACTAGGCCTTTAAATAAAACATTCTGAGCCTTGGCAGAGCTTGAAGATGCTCCTTTTCCCTTTCTCCTCCTGGGAGACTCTCCATTTGAGGGAGCAACTGTAATAAATTATCTTTATCTAAAATCCATTGTGCCAAGCCTGCTGCTCCTCAGGGACACAGCATGCTTGTTTGAAGCCAGCACTCTGGTGAAATGCTCCGCTTCATGCACCACTGGATGATAATTATTCTTATATGGACAATGATAGAGAGATCAGCTAAATGTTTCTGTGCAGTGTGCATTCTCCTTTGCAGAGTTGCTCAGATTAGTTGAATTTAATCTTTTCATCATCAGCATCATACAATAAACTCTGTGGTTTGAACCATGAAGAAGCAATGTTAAAAAATGTTGAACTCTAAAAGACGAAATCCATTCTCTTACTTACATCAGTTAAGTTTTATTGGTGCATCTACAAATTAGATTTATACACTGTGCCTTGCAAAACAGTATTTGTATTTCCTAATCCTTTTGTGTCTGACCAACACAGAAGAGTGTAAAACCAGTGACAAATGATAACATTCGTCCATCCATTGTCTACAGCCGCTTATCTGGGCAGGGTTGCAGTGGGGCTGGCTCCTATCTCCAGCAGTCATTGGGAGAGGAAGGGCACGTCGCACTCACCAGTCCATCACAGAAACCCACAGGGCAAACAGCCACACACAGACATCCGTGCGTACATGTCTAAGGGCAATTTACAGAAACTGACCCCAGTCTCTCTAAATTCTCTTTGAGTTAACATTCGAACCCAGAACCCAAAGCAAAGGGGCTTCTGACTGCACGACACACAAAATCTATTGATTTTATAGCCAATTTCTGAAGTTGAATAGTTGCACTGAATTCAGTGTCAGAGTAAAAAGAGGTGGATAAAAATGCACGCCACACTTTTTAGATAATTGTAAAAATGTTCCGTCCATTGACAAATAGCTGACAAATATTTTCTGCCATGTTTTGGTCTATCAGAACAAAATTCATTGAAGATTTTGGTTGGTTTTGCAAGGCAGATTGTGACTTCTGGGAAACACGATGAACAGATTGCTTTTGCAACAAAAAATAATTTTATTCATTTTGAAAAGGGCTTCTGCTTGTGAACATCATGTGATAGAAAACATGGATTGTTGTTACATTTCTTCTCACATTTTTCCTTGCAGATGTACAAATTGTTGAAACAAACACTGTGTTCAGGGTTAATTGACCAAGCGAATGAGTCTTAATTATGAACGTTTCTGTTCTAACTTCATATTTTCATTGCTGTACTTTCAGATTTAGCAAACTGGCGGCTTTTTGCGTGTTTTGCTTAATGTCACTTCACTCTTGATCAGCAGTCAGCTATTTTAATTGTTTTCTCTTTGCTGTAATGTATATCCCACAAGACTTCAGACTTGTCATTATGCAAATTTTTGCAGAAATCCATCAAAGAGGTTACTTGAAGTAGAAACATGAATAAGTTTAATTAAAAGCACTTTCCCCTGCATGATTGTAGTTGCAAGAGTATTTTATGAGAAACATTCTGCAAATATGTTGTCTTTCAACAACGACATCGTGAGGGCGTAGTATCACCAAATTAGAATGAATAAAAACTTTAAAAATTAAATTCTGTTTGTAATGAATCTGATATTTATAAGTTTTACGTTCTGAAATGAGTGACAAAAATATAAAAATTTTGCATGACACTGTCTTCTTTTTTAGCTTCACCTGTACCGTACACAGTGATTGGATCCAGAGTTTAATCATTTGTTCTCCCAAATGTTTGTCTTTTCTTTTTAAGAATCTGATCTCAAAATATGTGACTGAATTACTTAAAATTTCTTTGTTTACTTCAGCTCTCCAACTTTTCTCTCCAACTTTTGAATCAAAGCAATAATGAACTAACCACTTACTTTGGAACTTTGAAGGAGTTTACCTTATCAAATGAACAGCATAGAACTTCTATTCTTTTGAAATGCTAATTTTGGCTTCAACTTAATTTGAACACCTTACCTCCAATTTCAAGAGAAATTGCATTTCCTGAATTCAGTGAATCCTCTAAGTATGCAAAATGCAACTTTCTTTTAAACACAAAATGACCGCGAATGTCCAAAGAACTAAATTTTCTCTGCGTATGAGTGTGAAGGATGACCATGGCTGGCATGTGAGCTCGCCTGCTGTGCACCCTGGCTTTTGTTTTGCTTGAACAGGGTCTATGTGTTGCTGCTACATGTGTGATGTGTGTTCCAAACTGTTTTCTGTTTTTCTACGAATGCTACAATGACAAGCAGTGATGGTGGATAGGCATCCTCTACCAAAGAAATGTTTGCAATGTGGATAAAAAAGTGTAGAGCTTCACTTTGTAAGAAAACCAACAAAGTTATAAGAAAAAGTTTTTTTCTTACACAGCCTAACTCTATGAAAGTCACTCTTCATAAGATTTTAGAGTGTCAGCATTTATTAGGTCAGAAGCCTGGAGATGGCAACTTCCAGCTTTTTTTGTGTGTGTTTGTTTTTTTACTTTAGATAAAATGATGGGTTGCAATAATTTGGGTTATGAGCCCTTTGGAAAATTCCCTAGGATGCCAACCAACGTGTGATGTCTTGAGTGACAAAAACAAAAGTAATCTTCTAATGCCTCTTCATAATTTTTTTAAATTAATATTTCATCACAGTAATGACTGTGGAATTGAGCATGTTTTGGTAGGGATGAAGGCGAGATTGGAAAGACCCAAATTTTCAAGACACAAACTGGTCAAAAGGCTCTGCTGTAGGTTGGTTGTTTGTAGGTGGATTCTCTCTGCAGATTTCTTGCAGCTGTGCCTCTCTGGAGGATATAATTTATATAACGTCAATCAAATTTCTTGAAGGGGCAGTCTTATGCGTTTTCTAGTCACATAGTATCATTTTATAACACAATCAAGTTCCTGTTGCCTTCAATGGTTAAAAAAAAGAGATGTGTACAAATATCACTTAGGAAATCTGACTGCTTAATTTTAATTTTGTACGACTGCATAGTTTCTATTGAGATCAAAGGATTTCTCAAACATCCATGAACCCATCAAAACACTCCAGGTATGTTTTTGATGAGGTAATAACGTTATAACATGTTATAAAGCTCAAAAGTTGATTTTACATGATACTGCCCTTTTAACATCAGTATAAAGTTTACCATATGCTATTTCAAGGCAAAATTGAAACATTTATTAAAAATATATTTAAAGGATTTAGTTTTATTTTGGCAGCCAACTAAATTAATTTATGTTTGGATGGGTAAAAATAAAAAAAAAAGCATGAGCTGGACTTTTTAATACTTGAATAAGTCAGTAATATTAGCAACTGCTTGAATGCCACCACCTTATAATCTCCTCTTGAAAAGTGATGGTTTGGACCAAGTGCTCATGTCATGGATCAGCTCAAATTCAGAACCACAAGAAAATGTGATGCTACATTTTCTTTTTTTTTCTTTTTTATTATTATATAAAGTAAAACCTTATAGGAGCATGCAGATCGTTTCCAAGAAGTACTGCTCTTTGACTGCTGCTGAGTCTGTGCGAGAGAGATATTGAGCTTGTAAGAGGGTAGGAAGTATTTTTGTATTCAGTTCAAATACTCGTCTGATCATTCAAAGAAATGTGTGGTCAGGGCTCCTATATTACACCTGCGGAACAGACTTCTGCGATCTATACCTTCATTTCCATTGTGATCGACACTGCCAATCTCTTTCTCGCCATCTGCTGCTCACTTTGCCTGTGTGTGTGTGTGTGTGTGTGTGTGAGCGACAAGGTACATTCTTGTGTGTTTGTTGTGAGTCTGTGCTGCAGGTCTGCTAACCTCGAGGCTGCCTCTCTCTTTATGTGCCTGTATAGAGAAAGGCATCCAGGACAGGGAACTGTACTGGAAATAGGATTTCACACACACATAATGCAGACATGATGATGCAGATTGTGAATTTTAATGTCCCTCCAATGTGTTATCAGGAGCTACTTTGAAGGAGAAGTGAAATGATATTGGATTTCGAAGTGTGTGGGCACCCTGGTGTTTCATTCTCATCGTTTTCCACAGTAAAAGGCTGCTGTTGCCTGGTCATCGCTATACTCTTTACCTGTCATGAGTTTCTGAAGAGCACTTGTCTTTCAGAGTGATTGGCAGACTGTTAAATGATTTTGTTTACAATAGGTTAAAACTAAATTAAACTATATATGTTTTTGTTCTTTTTTTTTTTTTTAAATGTGTAATTTTTTTCCGCACTACTTCAATATAATAGAATAATGTTTGTTGCTGGAATCTGACAAAATGTAAGTAGGCTAAAAGATGCTCCTTTATAACCCCAAATTCACTGCAACATCAGAAAAAAATCATCTAAATCTCAAAAAAATCTCGAGTGTTGAGTTGAAACTAAGTTAATTTTTTGTTCCTTTCACGAACTTTAGAGCCCATAGAAAACATTTTGAAAGAACTGCTTGAGGAAATCGTAAAATTCAGAAATTAATTTACTTTGACTTCCAGTCACTTTGTTAGGTTTCTGCTTTACTGTAAAACAGCCACTGATGTAATTGAAGAACCTCTAGAGGTGAAAACGTGTTCTGAAAATTCTGCACCAGGCTGGATTTTTTTCAGATTACGCAGGTCCAATTGAATCCTAACTAGTAAAAAAAAAACAACAACAACAAACAAAAAAACAAGCAGAACTTTATTTGCTGAATTGGAGAAGTTCAGAAACTTCAATCTGTCTGACTGTTATGCTATAAATGTTCTTACATTTTCTCTTGGTGGATTTTATTCTGAATGGATATTATTCAGTTGGACAGACTCACCTCATTAGTCTGTAACCTTAAAACTATAAATTGTAGTTTTTTCAGGCTTTCTAGGTATCTTAGAATGCAAAATAATTTTTAAACTGCGCATACTTTAATCTTGCTTCAGGTTAGCCGAATTAATGATCCATCTTTGTGATTGTATTTGTTTGTATTTTCAGGGAGTTATTCAGGATGTGAAGCTGATCTTTGCTCCAAATGGTTACATCACACAGTGTCCAAATCTCAATCGCAGTAAGTATCTTGACAGCATCATCAAAAACAAGGGAGGGTGTGAAAAATTATCCTTTACATGTGTTGTTTTCATGACAGTACTTCAGACAGTAATTACATGCTTTTTTTTGTTTCTCCAGCAGTTTGGTTTTTCATTTGGTTGCCTGTCTCTTTCCTTCCTTTGTTTCTGAATTTGTTTCCTGTCAAACAGATTAAGATCCAGGGTCACTGCTTTGTTTCTCTTTGTTTCTGATCAATAAGGCAATCAGATGCTGGTGCTTCAATACTGATACAAACACCCACCACTAACATAACATAGACATTTTAGCACAAACATTTCAAGCTTCATTTAGTTTTTTTTTTTACTGTGGCCACCACAGACAAAATCAAATGATGATTACTTGTATTAAGTTGTGAAAGTTCTGTCTGAAGGTTTTTCTGTTGCTCTTTTTTGTTCTTCCCTTTTTGTTTGGCCCTGTTTGCCCATCGAGCCTGTCCCACCTGCAGCGATTTCCTGAGCCTGGTGCAAGGCATCATGGACCTGCAGGAGCTCCTCGCCAAGATGACCCTGAAGGTAATGAGTTGGAACAACCTCCAGTAGACTGAGACATCTACCAAATATCCATCACTAAATTGATTCACTAAAAATTGCAGGCATGTGAAAAATGATAGAAAATGAAAGCACATCTTGATTTTTAAAACATTTGAAATTCAGTTTAGAAATTTGTTGCTTTTCTGAAAGACGTTATTATTTTAAATCTAAAATGTTCAGTCAGATTGGAGACCAGACTCTCCTCGCCTGGTTTGTCATCAACTTGTCTTAGCAGGTTTGCAGACAACTTTGACTTGTCTGGTGTTTCCCTCTGTTTTCATGATGTGGTTTACTGATTAATATTCTCTAATAAATATGTAAGGCCTTCACAAAATAGGTTGACTTTATAATTAAGTAAATTGTAAAGGCAGCTTGTTGCGCTGTGTTGATATGTAGCAATGCATAAGTAAAGGGGATAAATACAAACAACCTACATTAAATATTGAAGTTTTGCAGAATGTTGATAATTTTGTGATTTTTTGATACATTTCCAAGGCTCTGAAGTTAGAACTTGAAACATCTTTTTTGGGGGATTTAATACTAATACATTTTCCCAGAAATATATAAGTGTGACAAAACTATTGCTCAATTTCACCAATGTTAAAAGATCTTCTTTACTAACATTTTGGATATGTCAGCACCATATGTAGGTGCCTGTTCTTTGAATTTATGTGTTAAAATCAGTAATAGTTTTGAAGTTGTGTAATAAGGAAAAGGACTCAATTGTCAGCTGCAAATCAGACGTCAAAATAAAATGTTATAATCAATAAATAAATTTTTATTTTTTATTTTTTGGTGTTTCATTCACTCCATAATAAATATGAATAGTTCACATGCGACTAAAGAAATCATGAATGAAAAGAAGCAGAAAGAAGCATAAACTTAAATATGCCCCTTTTCACAAAAAAATAGCTACTCAACTCAGAAAACAAACATTTAAAATATACTAAAATAAACAAAAAACACATCAGTTTATTCAATGCCACATGGCTTCATCATGATGGTTTTCTAATTTGTTCTCAATCCAGGAAGAGATTTTGATTTTTGCAATTGAAATGCATCTTTCCATCATCACTATTTTGATTTAACTTTTTTAAAGTCTCTGTTCCTCTTAACTTTAATTTGCTTTCTCATTTTACAGATCTGAAAAGAAAGTGTGATGTTCTTTGTTAATAAAGCTTAAAAATGTTGTACATGAAGTTTAACTGACAGAGTACAAAAACAAGGCAAGAAAATCTTCGAGTGACAAAACAGTGAAATAGACAAAGAATCTGTCAGAGCAAGATCTAAAAATCTTTATTCTGTGTTGGGATGATGTCTGTCACAATCTGGAGCCGATGACAGCAAAAGATATAAAAGCTGAATGTAAAATATAAAATCTGAAAACATTTTCTTGCCTTTCTTACTATACCGAAGCTTAGACTGGTCTGAGTTATACACACAAGCTACAAACAAGGTTTAGAGAGTTTTCGGAAAATGGTGACTGTGTCAACTCAACAGGAGACTAACGGGCAATGCACTATGGAAAGCCATAAGGGAAAAAGTGATCCATTTCAATGGCTAAATGTCTGCATAAGCCATCAACATGAGTATGTTATGAGTTGTGTGTGCGTGTGTGTGTGTGTGGGTGTGTGTGTGTGTGGACTTGTAAGAGTGATACCAGGTAAAAGTGGATGAGGCAAGGACATCCCAGTGGGTGACTGAGATCTGGAACATTTTGGGTGTAAATAAGGATGAGATGGCGACCATTACCCTACTGCTGTGTTAGTGCCTCCTCCTTTGCATGAGCACAGCTCGACCTTTTGCCACCTGACCTCACTTCACGTATAAGTCTCAGCAGGGAGGATGTAGTCATCTCCTGCTCTAAATGGCTCTCTGCCTATACAGTGGAAAATTGAAGGATGGAGCATGTAGCGCATAATTGCTGGCACCCTAGTTTGTGAAGTCGAGTGTCAAGGTGAGGTGAGATGACACTAAGCCCCTCTGTGTGTGGATAATCATGGTGGAATTTGCATGTATTACACTTCTGTCTTTTATAGGAAGGAACAAATCATGTACGGAAATCACAGGGCTTTTACTTGTCGTGAAAACAATTCCCCTGGTTATTTCGTATTAAGCTTTCCGATTTAAACCCCGACCAATTTAATTAGCACAAAGGCTCTTAAAAGCATTAGATTTCTGTGATGCTTTGTGTTCAACACTGGGCAGCTTGAGGGAAGTGATTATCTACTCTAACTGGGGGCAGTGTCAGGCCATTTACCTTTTGACAAACAGCAAGATTTACTTTCTTTCTGCCATTTTCTTTCTTTCTTTTTTTATAGTTTAGCAAAATACACCAAACCGTGGCTGAAACTTTAAACAAGGTTTCCTGAAAGTTTTTTCCAAATCTGCTTCCAGAGACATTCAGCATAACCTGTAGTACAGTTTGCAACTGAAAAGATAGAATTTGCATGTTATTCAACCAAATGTTTGTTACTGAGTGATGTAGAAAGCACATGGGGTCATATTTGCCTGTCTAAACATATTAAAATTGATCCATAATTGTCAAGTGTTTTTTTTTTGACAAGTCCAAAGACTAGACAGAACTTCACAGGTGCTAAGTTTGGTTGTGATTACAGCTGGCACTGGCAACTTTGGTATCTCCTTTAAACATCCTGAAAAAGCAAAGATTTTCAAAGGAAACACTTATTTTACAGCTTTAAAGCATTTAAAAAAATATTAAAACAACAATAATATAATATAATATTGTTGTTGGCATTCTCAAGATTCTTTATTCTGAATTACATATTGATTATGACATTACATATAACTGACACAGAGATATGCTTTTTGGCTATATATCCAATGCATCCAGGATATGGAATTAGATTTTATAAAACATTTATAAAATATTTATTTATACATATTTTAAATATTTTAGCAGTGATTTAATTGCAAAACAAATTGTAAGAGAGGGATTTAGTGCACCAAAGTGCAGTTTTAAGCCTATTTTTAAAATGCTATTTAAATGAATTATGTCCAGATTACTTGGACAAAGAAGAAGATAATCAAATAAACTACATAAGCTGGAAAATTGAAAAAAGATAGATTATACATAAATCTATTACACATTAACTCAAAATATGCCACTTCAAATTTGACAAAAGTGAAAATATGTTTGCCCTCCAAGTAATTAATGTCCAAATTTGCAAACCAAAGTTTTTCTGCAAAGATTAAAGTGTGTGGTTATTTTCACCAAGACTTTGAAGTATTCCCAGAATTAAAATAAATGATGAAAAATATTATTCTTGAAAGTATTTGTTGGACAATCTAACATCCAGCATCCTCAATTATCTTGGTGTGAAATAAAATGTATCTAATTGCTGCAGACTTCTAGAATTTTAGGAGTAAAAATTACCAAAAAGAAAAAGAAAATAATATAAGTATTTCTTCTCTAGCATTTCCCACTTGTCTTCCCTTATAAAGATATTTTAAAAAGAAAAATGTTTTACTCTTTCACATGTCTTCTTGCCTTGTGTATTGGCAGTAGATGCTACATGCCTATTAGTCCCTGAATCCTTTGTGCTGCATCATGGTGCCATTTGATGCTCAGGTTGTACAGGAGAAGTATTCCTCTGCGGCACCTCGAGGCAGACCCCAAGCTTTTGAAACTAGATTTCAAACATTTTGTTTAGAGGTCTGTTGAGATGCGTCTCCACTAGTCACAACTCTCACAGCTCTTCAGCAGGGACTCCTTTAAACAGCGCAAAATGCCTGTTACATCTAGTGTTTTTCATTTTTCCTTAGAAGCTTCAATCGCACCAACTCCTCCACTTTTGAAACGCAGGCCTGACCGAGTTGCCGAGGAGAGGGAGAGGGAGTGTAACCAGTTTTGACTCTCTTTCCACTGAACCTATAATTTCTGAGATGGACCTGCCTGGAAATATCAATGGGACTTTAAAAATCGCCTGACCTTCCACATGGGCAGTTATTCATACACTACTTGTGCTTCTAAACCTTTTACTACATGTTACATTTCTGTTTAGAAATGACCTAAACCACGTCAGAATGTCTGCATTTTACAAAAGCCGAGATAATTTTCCACATTTCGTTTGCGGAGAAGCTTTAAAGCTCTTCACAGTTCACCTCAGAGAATCTCCTTTCAAACCCACACAAAACATTTCAGATGAATAAAGGTTCAAAATGTTAACTTGATTCTAATTCAGCAATTCTTCAGTTCAACAACTTGTGCGCAAATATTCCTGTTGAACTGCTGCATATCTGCATAGAAAGATAAACTGCCTCAAGTAAATAATAGTACTACATCACCTTTCTATGTATCTGATATGTGCACCAGCTTTTTTTTTTTTTTGAACATGTCAAAAAAACAAAAAACTACCAGCTTTTCTACATTGTAAAGGTGCTCTGTTAGACTGAGATCTCTGGAAGACAGTGTGAGCTTCTTTCAGCTTTGTCACATGGTGCATTTTTCTGCTGCAAATAGCCATAAGAGGTTTGGCACACTGTTGTCTTGAAGGGAAGACATGGTCAGCAACAAAATGGATGCTGGATGTAGCATTTAAGCAATAATCGTTTGTTACTACAGGCCCAAAAAAACACCATCAGCCTGAATCACTGGAACAAGATAGAATGTTTTAATTTGACCTGTTTATGACGAACTGAATGAATCATTTATATGTTGCAGTTGAAGTTGAAACTAATCAAATCAGACATTTTTCCAGTCTACTGATGTCTGAACTGTAAAAGATTGCTCAAATTGTAGCCTCTGTTTTCTTGTTTTTAGCGAACATGAATGAACCGTGATGTGGTCTCCTGCTGCTGGTGAAAACTTTAATATACTTTGACCAGCCAGTCTGGGACCATAAACCATGCAAGTGCATATATTTAAATCCATGAAGTGTTTAATAAGTAAACACTTAATGATGTCATAAAATCAGGTTTCATTTGTATATAAATATGCAAATCAGACAAACCAAAATATTAAGTTACGGATTGGGGCTGCCCAGTGTGGTGAGGTACAGGGGCCTTGGGCTAAGAGGGGACAAGGGAAGGGTACTGCCTGCGCCCTGCAAGATGTGGCCTCCCAGCAGAACGGCAGCTGTGACACAGGGCAGTTAGATTTTCTGATATCTGAACTGGCACAGTTTAATATCCTGTATAAAATGTTTATACAGGATGTTGGAGTTGTAAATGGACACTTTTTGTAGCGCTTTTCTAGTCATGCTAACATTAAAAAGTGCTTCACACTAGAGCTCATCTGTTAACTATAATTAATATCACTGTGAAAAGCAAACTTTCACAGTGTTATGACAGTTGTCATAACATTATTCAAGTTAATTTGCTGTTTGATTAGAAAATAATTAATTGATACATTTCTTATTCACAGAATTAATCTTTGCTGACAAATGTAGCTCCAAATGTTTTTTTCTTTAAGTGTCAATCAGCTATTCCAACGTATTTCTGGCTACATCATTTTTTGTTGGAATATGGATACATTCTCAACAATTGCTTTAAAACAACTCACCTTCACCCCCCTTCCAAGTGGCACTGCTTTGCCACATTTTTGAGTTAGTTTTCTGAGAGCCAACAGTGGAGAGTATGAAATAAATTGAAGAAAAATAAATTGATGAGGGTGCACAAATAGGAGGAGAAGGGCAGAGTGGGAGTTGCCATTCCTCTCTGTCATATCTCAGTAGATCATTGCCTGAGGAGAGGAGCTTGAGCTGAATGATGATCCCCTTTTATTTTATTTGCCCTTTAAAAGAGTGACTCTTGGTGGAGAAGCTCTCTGTGGAACTTGACCAGAGGATAAGGGACAGGCAGGGGAAGATGGGTGACAGACAACTGTGGTGCATTTTCAGACTTTAAAATGGCTCTTGTGATTCTGTGTGCAGCTGAACTATGCGGAGTCCAGACTGACGCAACTGGAGGGCTGTCACTGCGAGAGGACCTGCAGCGCCAACGGCCTGGTGTACCGGGACAAAGAGCTGTGGGTGGAACCGGAAAACTGCAGGAACTGTGGTTGTAAGGTAAGTGTTACCCTCTTAGAAAGCCAAGAAACCTGTTCATTCAAGTGTTACTATTGTCTAATATACAGTAAAAACTGCAGTATGCTTCAAAGGGGCAGTATTGTGTATTTCCCAGGCACATAATACCATTTTATAGCACAATTAAGTTACTTTGTTACCTTCAGTTGATGTAATAATGCTACTTACATCAAATATGACTTAAAAGAAATTTGACTTGAAATTTGACCTCCGTCTCTTTAAAACGTCAGAAATCTGCATCGTCACTAAAAAATCTCCACCATGCATAATGTCTTCTTGTATTAAAGTAATTGTTGAAAAATTACAGTTGGCTAAAAAGAAAAAAATCAACATGCCATAGAAATACAGAAATTATTATTGCCGTAGAAACGGCAATAATGACGCACTAGAGACGCACCGATCACTAGAGACGCTGATCGGTGCGTCTCTAGGGAAGACTCCAGTTATTGTCAGTAAAGACTGCTGCAGGTAATGTTCAGGATTTTTGAAAGCCGTTCAGAGCAATGCAAAGCTTTGCCGTCAGCAGGAAGTGAATAAAAATAAAGAAACGACCATATATGATAGCATGATCTCTGGAGCCTTTTCAATGCAATATCACATACTCATGGCAGATTATCTTGTAGCAGCTCACAACAATAGATTGCAAGTCATTGCAACCCTGAGTTTTCTTAGCATTTTGTTTTATTTCCATCTTCTCACTCTGTGCCTACCATCTTACAAAGCAAACATCCTCTAATAGGCTTTCTTACCTGACTGTCTGCCTTCAAACATAGGGGCTAGACCTGCAATGTGTTTAATCAGGGCATTCTTGCTCCTGAGGATTTAGAGTTGCTGCATCAAAGCACATCAAGCACAGTAAAGAGTTTAGTCAGTCTGGTTTCCTCCCGTGGACATGCCATTAACTGATAACCACAGCGTCCTAGGAGAATCCTTTTTGATGACTCATGAAATGAAGAGGCGCTTGCAGAGAGAGATATCAGGCTCAGAAATTAATGCAGTCCTTAAGGGTTTGAATAACTACCTCACATCAACAGGCTACTCAAGAACGGTGCAGTCTCAGTGATTAGTGTGGTTTCTTTCATTCTGATGGGCTTTGGATTCAAACAGTAGAGGCTAGATTGAACTGGAAGACATTTTGCATGAAAGCGTTTAACACATCATTAACAACAACTGGTTTATTAACAGAACTCGCTCAACTTGTGGTTCCCAGTTAGCTGAACTTCAAAAATAAGTTGATAATAAGAAGTGTGAAAAGCAGAACTATGTCTGTTTTAAACAAAAATTCTATCTGGCATCCGTGGTTCCATCCACCAAGCAAATAATTGCCTCAAAAAATAACATTGACTTCAGAATGCAGGCAGAGAATATAAGATGAGGGGTGAAATCAGAAAAAAAAAACATATATCAGCAGTAATCAGGAGGTATAGAACAGGCTTCAGTAACACTGATAGCTGCAGCAGAGGCAGTGGAACTACTGCTAGTGTGCTACTTGCTCAATATAGCTCTATACAGATATGTTTTAGACTTGCCTTTGGCATTGTAAGTGCAATGCTGACATTTTGTGTCTGATACCAACTTTTTAAATAACATCCAAAAAAGAAATATCAAGATTACATTTTTTTTATGCCTAAGCTGGTTCTGAAAGCAATGTAAAAAAAAAAAAAAGAAAAAGGCAAACGGATGTTTTCTGTGAATAAATGCAAAGGAGATGGTGTCAATTTTGATGGAGTGTTTTTTTTAGTTCATGTCAGATCATGCATTAATGGAAGGTTTCTGAGCAGCACTTGCAAAGCAAATTAGCACGTTTTGAATGACAAAAGGTTGTTGGGAAAGGACATAAGTCTTTATAAATGCAAGGCTTCTATTTAAAGCTGTTATTTGACCTTGAATCCAGCTGCAAATCTGTGGAGAACCTAAAAGAAAAATCCAATAGTTTCCAGAATTTTTCCTCCTGATTCATAACTAATTTATGTAAAGTTAAAAGTTTGCCTAACTAACAAGTTCTAGACCAACACTACATTAAAGTTGATCCAATAAATGTCATATAAAAATGCTTGAAAAATTGCTCAAACACTTAATAGTATGTTGTTTAATTTGACATGTATTTTATCCCAACTAGTATTTCTGGGATTTTTTTTTGATTCAACTCAGACTGTAGTAAACTCGCTCTTTATTCCTCTTGGCAATGTTTTTTTTTTTTTCTTACGCTGCACAATCCACTAAGCTAATCTTAGGTTTATTTCTCTGTTTTGATAAGATTCATTCATTTAACTCATATTTAATTGTGGTTTGATTTATTTGTGAATAGTTAGAGAAAACAAAGACGGGAAACTGCAACAATTTTGTGAAAGCTGTGCACTAAAAATAAGCGGGATATTTTTAATTGGAGTACCAAATATGCAGCTGTATGATTGTTCTTTTGTTTTTCTTCCATGATGATCCAAAAGAACGGTGTGGTGGAGTGTCGCAGGATCTTTTGTCCTCCAGCAAATTGCTCAGACGACATGTTGCCTGTACATGTTGATGGGACTTGCTGTAAAACGTGCCGACGTAAGTATTAGCACAAACACTGGATGCAGACAGAAAAATATAGGCATATCCATCACAGATCTCTGTAGTTACTTTGCAAAATTATGTTTCAAAGTGTACAAATGGCCTCTGGTCAAGAATTTAATGACCTGCTTTCACAGTATCTAAAAGAGAATCGCAGGCTGTGACCCCCCCCGAAATGAACACTGAGCTGTAATTAAACGCACCATAATTTGTGTACTTTAATAAATCAGCAATAATTGTTGGGTACGTTCGCAGAGGTGTCAGATAGTAACACTTGACTGTTTTATTAATTTAGACTTGACAAAAGTCACAATAAAATTTTTTAAGGACTTTCTTGAATTTTTTCAAAGTTTTTCTTATCACAGTTTCAAATTGTAGTTTAGATATCCAATTCAGAAAAATATCTTCTTATTAATCAGTAGCACAATGGCTTTGGTGCTGATATTTACTGTTCATCTTAAAGTATAAAGGTTGCTGCATGTTAATACTTTAATTCTTCTTATTTATTCCTCACAAACCTATTGCTCTGTGAAGATCTATAAACAATAGAACTAACAGAGCGTGAGTTTTTACCTATTAGTCATCACCATTCTGAATGCTAAGTGGTCAATTTGACATTGTCTATTTTAAAGCAATTTATATATAATCTACTTCAGTGTTAAGTTAACTTTTTATTTTCAAAGTGCAATAAAAGTAATTTTTCATCCTATGTTTTTAAGTTGGACATTTGTTTTTAATCTGGTGAATTTCACACAAATTCATTTGCAGAATGTTTCATTGTTAGAATGACAATGATTCTATTCTATTCTATTCTATTCTATTCTATTCTATTATATTATATTCTGAGGCATAACATTATGACTGAAGACAGGTGACGTCAAAAATTTCATCATGGCACTTGATGAATTTTGATAAGTGGAAGAATTTTAACAAGTTTGTCAAGGACTGTATCATTATAGCTCGACAACTTGATCAATAAAAACTGATCAAGTTTGTGATCAGTTATGTTCTGCTCTGTCATACAAAGCAGAACAATCCAGGTACTTTTAGCTCCCTTGGAGTAGAATTTCTCACCCTGCCACAAAGCGAACATAGTTCAGGAATGTTTTGAGAAGCACAACAAGCTTGAGATGTTGACTTGACCTCCTAATTCCCTAAGATCTCAATTGAACTGAGTGTCTGTGCTGCACAAACAGGACTGATGTTTGTGCAGCACATGATGATCCACATCACCACTCACAAGCCTTAAACAATCTGCAGCTAACATTGGTGAAGATAGTACAGCACATTTACCATGACGACCATAGCCCATTCCTCTACAGGGACCACGCACAAGGCATGAGGTCATTGTGGTATTTCTAATTAATGCATTTTGCAGTTTAAAGGCCAAATGCATGGAGACATTAGACACACTCATTTATATTTTCAAAGTTGTTTCAATTAGGTTAACAACTCGCATAACTGGTGTTGTTCTATTAGCATGAAGGCAAAGTAGCAAAGATCATAGCTGCCTTCATAGATGCTGATATATAAGCAATATTTCAAAGGTTTAAGCACATAGATTTCTAGCATAGACTCCGATACACAGACAGCTGTGCCTTTCTTAATACACTGCATAAAAAAAGAAAGAAATCCCTGAAGAATAGAGCGCCTGAATAATTTCAGCACTCCTTCGCCTCCCTCTGTCCCTCTGCTCACTTCTCCTTCCTCCTCTTGCTCCTCTGCGAACATCAGAGCTCTGGCACAGAAGAACGAGGAAGCTGTGCTCCTGAGCTGTGACAGAGCATGCTGTGGTCCAGCACCCTTGAGAGGACCAAAGCAGGACTTCGCATCATGTGGCTCACTTACTATTTCTGATTTATCACCAGAGGGATATGCTATAAGACCTTCATCTATTGTGTTCCTAATGTGCTGTTTCGTTTCGCCTCCGCTTAAGCTCATCAGCAAAGAAAAAAGTGTTGCAGCAAGATTTAAAATGCAGTCCTTTACACTTGAAACTTTCTATTCCTTTATTGCTTGTACCTGGTTAGCCAAACTGTTTGTATTTCTTGCAACTACTTTATTTATCTTGAGGAAAACAACTTAGCATTTTAATCTAATAATTTCCTATCATCTGCAGCTAAGTGTACCTACATGGGACAGACTTTTTCGGAGGGTCAACGCTTTCTTTCCAGGACTTGCAGGGAATGCAAGGTATCATTTTTTTTTGGTTATATGCTTATCCTTTCTCTAGCATTTATCATATTATCTACAGTAATGTCACCAGACACATCTTTTCAAGGAAAATGTGCAATGATTGCATGCGGTGGACCACTTGGTGTGTAATTCAATTAGCCATCAGGCTGTATTAGTTTTCCCACCCTCCTGCAATCTGTTCAATCTGCCTATTTTTACTCTAATGGCGAGATAGCCAGGTAATTAGAATAACTCATGAAGCCAGCTCAACAAAGGCCTAAGCCTGAGTGAAACTCCATCACTGTGAGGTTTAAAATGGGAGTCATTTTTCCAGATCAGCCCAGAATAAATGTGAGTTTTACTCAGGGAGAAAGCCTTTATCTGTAAAGATAGCGTGGAGGAAATGACCATTTTATTAATGTAACTGCTTGTAAATAAGCACATCTTCATTAATCCTCTGACAGCCACAAATATAATTGTACTTTCTTTCAAGGCTTCATTTCAAGCTTTCAAGAAATTTTACTCTTAAACATGGATATGAATGACCAATTTGTATTGTTTGATTTTAAGAAAGAGTTGCTTTTTCTTTGTCAGAGTTTCTGTTTTGGACCACAGTATCCAATACATTAAGGGCAGGTGACCTTTGCTGTGTCATGTTACAAATTTCAAAGTTTTGCTGGTGCCAAATCTCTGATACAAGTGATAATGAAGTTATCCTTTAATTACTGTTTAAATGAATCTGATATTTTGTCAAAATTCACAGTTGAAGTTCCAGGCCAATCAGTTTCTCAAGGACTAGAATAGCCACATTTTCTTTCGATTGGACATGATCAATAATCATTTTCAGCCTATAAACCGTCAACACACATGTTAGGCACGACAGTGCGCTATACTGAGTTCAGTGAAAATCAGGTACGAGTTTGTGACTTATGCCCTGATAACTGGAGTTAAGGTTTGAAAATAAGAGGAACTTCACATCTATCAATACAACTAATTTTGTATTGGAATATGAATCCAAGACTCTGCAATGTATCCTGAGCTACTGTTGCCAATTTAAAATTTTACGTTGTGAAATAACTTAAATTGGATTTATGTGATTACAAAAACCCACAAACAAACAGAGTTTAATATTTTTAAATAGCTGGAAACCCTAGCAGTTTGGTGCATCTCGATTTGTATTAGATTTATGCTACTACTTAAATTTCATTAGAATGAGCCTTGTTAACACAGAAAGCTTGGTGAATTAAATTAAAGCCAATCCTTAGAGCCTCTGGCAGCAAAGAAAAAATAAATATGCAGTTTGATTGGTCAGCTTTTGAAAGAAAGTACCTGTAGGTTTAACATATAATTTAATAACAAAAAAAATCAAATGAGTAAATTGCTTGCTTTAGAAATTATGCTCTAAAGTAGTTTATTTTAGATATAAAAGATACACCATTGAAGGGAGCTGTGAAGGACAAAAGTTATATATTGATTTTGCCGAAAGACCTTGAGAAATCTCTGAGGACTCCCAACATGCTTACATACCAGCCAGGCTGCAGCAGTTGGTGCATTGTTGTTTAAAAACCCATATGGACAACTTTCATTAAATTATGTGTCCTTGCTTTGGTTGCAAGTTCATTTCTGCCTTAACAGTTTCATTATTTATAGCCATTTTCCATTTGTGACCAATATAGTCAGACATCACATTTCTTTCTTATTTGTGTTAATGTCCTAAAGAGTGTCTTAAAATATTCTAGTTTTGTCACATTTTCTCCTTGACAGTAAAGTTTTATGATTCTTTTCTAAACTGTTAACATCATAATGTTCAGATTATTACAATGTAACCCTGTTGAAATGCATGCATACACACTGCTTGATTGTTTTTCACATTATGCCATATTACAACCAAAAATTTCAAATGTATTAATCGGAATTTTATGTTATAGACCAACATAATAAAGCAAACAATGACCTTAATGTAATCCTTGAATTTGTTTAATTTTATTAAAAGTTAAGTTTTTTTATGATCAAAAGTCACTCATACATCTCAGGAAATGAGTATTTTCTAAAGAATCTCTTCATGTTAAACAGATAATTATTGAAAAACAAATGGTGTCAAATTCATATTATTGAGTCCAATAAATTGCAATCAGTGATGAATTGACTTTAGACACAAATGCCAACATTTGATCACTGAGACTGTTGTTGATACTAAACTGATAACCAATAATTATCACAGAAGCAGGACAAATGGCAAATATAGAGGAGCTTCAGAGATTAACAGCTTGAAATGATTACATTTCAATATTAACAGTTATGGTTGTAAAATGACAAAATGTCAAATGGTTTTACAAGATGTTGTTGGCCTGCTTGTAATATAATGAATCCCCTTTTATTACCAGTAATACAGAGATTAGCACTTCCCTTTTTTTACCCAATGCTAACTGCTTTTAATAGGTTAGCCTGATGTGCTGGTAGTTTCAAATGTCTACATATTATATTTCTAAGGCAAAATATATATTTTGTAGAAAAATAATACAAGTTATCCCAATTGTTAAACCATTCAAAATATGTTGCAATAAATGTGCTTTTTATTTTCACAAGTTAAAGAAAACATGTTTTGTCCTTGAGTCTTAATCCAACTCCTAGTGAAGTCTTTATGTGGATTCTCTTGAGACTCACAACTTACACAACATTAATGAACATACATGAAAAGGGAACAGTTAGCATATTTATACTATTTCAGAGGCGTAAGACAAAATGTGTGAAGTGATTATATGACTTATGGGTTGTAAGTTTCCACTGTGTAAAAGATGAAATAGTAAGACTCCATTATTTGCCAGTTGATATAAGTTACCGTTACTGCATAGACTTTCATGGCTTTGACCCAAACATTACAAAGTATAATCTCCTGCCTGTATTTTGTCCTTGCAGAATGGCTTGATGGTGAAAGTTACAGAAACATGTCCGGAGATTAACTGCACCACTGGTGAGCAGATCTTACCAGAGGGCAGATGCTGCAATGTTTGCAGAGGTATGGCTTCCATTTACCACAATCTTTCCACTACCCACAACTCACCCTCTCTTTAGATCTGTGTGCACCGGTGTTCTCCACAATGAGTAGTGAAAAAAAACTTTTCGTTATGTTGATTAAGCTGGACTCTCGCAATATTTCTCTACCTTTCCGATCCTGTGAATGTATTGTGTTTTTTTTCTTTTTTGGCTAAGATAGCTATCAGAGCAGATTGGGCTGTCTTTTGCAGAGCACCTGCTATGCCAATTTGCCCGGGTCCTGCTGCTTTGGCAGGGAACTACTAGAAGGTAAATAGGCCCCAGTCTGTCAGTAAATACATTGAATAAACAAACTGTATGCAGGTGGCAGTTATGTTACCATTAGGCACCATTATCGGAAAAAAAAGAGAAAGAAAACACAATGCAAGTTTGGCTGGAAGAAAATTGTGCTCTTGTTTTTCATAAGCTTAGCAACATGCCTCACACACCTTATTTGAGAAAGGGAGAGGAAGCATGCATAAGAGAAAGAAAGATGAACAAATATTTACAGTGAATGAAAGGAAAATATACTTGGAAACAAGGACAAGATGAAAGAAAATAAACTAGAATGATTAGAAAATTAAAGGTGGGGAGAAAAATGTAGTAATCAAAGAAAATGTGTTGGAAAGCGAAGGAATAAGAATAAGAATTGATGACTATGAGAAGGAATGGGTTGAATAAAGCAACTTTCACCAGGAGATTGAAGAGTGCATGTAATAGGAGAGTTTATATGATAGGACTTTGCAATTAAATATTACCTTCCGAGAAATCTTCCATTTCCCTACTTTTAAGTGTTTATCCACATGAGATGAAGCAGAATGTAGGACATTATTTCCAAATCAAAACAACAAAAGAACCATCATGAGGGACTTCCATAACTTCCATAATCAATTCTTTTCCATTTGTGCACAATTTTCGAGATGGAATTATGGGGTTATATTAATGTAGTTGAAGCTCTTTCTCAGGCTCTTTGGGTGCTCTGTCTCTTAAGGCTTTTATGCACAGCCTGTCTGTCACTCATTACAGAACAGGATGAGATACATCCACAAAGTGAGACGTAATCATCTCTCTGTCTGTCTGCCACCGTCCTCATCTGTCAAACTAATTTTCGGTTCATCTATCTGTTTCATTACACTTGTGCATGTGCTCGCTCTATGTCTGCAAAGGTGCAGATCAAAAAAAGAAAAGAAAAAAAATGGATGTGGTGGTGGTGCAGGGGCAAAGCACAACCCACGTATTGAGGCCGCAGTCCTCATGGCGGAAGTCGCAGGTTCGATTCCCGCCCTGGAGACATTTGCTGCATGTCTTCCCTCTCTCTGATTTTCTAATAAAATGTGTTTTTATTCTGAAGAAGCAAGACAAAGTATGAAGATGGCAGGTTGTTTAAGAGCAAAAGAGCAACATCCAGGCAACATTTTCACCTTGTAGGATAAGCAACCAAGTCTCATGCAAGCAACAATTTGTGCGGCTGTGTATTTTGTGAATCCTTTCTCTAAAGGAAAAGCCTTTAAAATTGCACCACTGTTATATAGACATATACATAAGGCTCACTGTCATTCATGATGAAAAATGTTTGTGTCTCTTTCCACAGAGCTGCATTTGTGTTTGCCTGTCTATACAAAACTTTTCATTGCCTTGAGTGAGCAAATTTTATCACTCCCTTTGCTTTTTTCTTTCAGGTTATGACTTCTGCGCAGAGGGACTCATTTGTGGAGAAAACTCGGAGTGTAAAAACAGGAATACTAAAGCAGAGTGTGAATGCAAGGGCGGCTATGCCTCCATCCATGGGGACTCTACTTATTGTGAAGGTACAACTTTGTTTTACTCGGCTCAGGTTGTGCAGGGCGTCATGCGGTTGACTCATAATTTATATCAGTCCTGGATGTAAAAAAAAAGCTGAATTGGTAGCAGTGGGTGGAAGCGTTTAATTCATCGTTTGCCTTTAGGAATAAAGAGTCTGTGATCTACAGACCGAGTTCTATACAATTATGATGACTTCCTTTAAAGCAACAACAACGACTTTAAGAAAGCTCAAATATTAACCTAATGCTGTGAAAAATTGAAGCACACCGGAAAATCCACCTCAACAGGAAAAGAAGTCAAATTCTAAGTTTGGGAGAATTACTGGTATAATGCAGTGGCAGTTTTTGACCATAGAGGAGCAGGTTTGTTTGGATTGTTTCTATTTTTCAATTGTTTGCTAAATCATTTTAAAAAACACATGTCAATTTTGCTCATCAGCTCTTTGCCTGATGGTAAAATTTGCTTAACTTTAAAAACCAAAAAAAAGAAAGAAATGTTAAGACTAAATATTTGTTCACAGCTCCATACCTTCAGTTGGGTTGCTGTGACTTTTTAAAGACTTTACATGATTTGTCTTCAGTAGGTCAACATAGTTTACATATGTTTGAAACATTTGGGTCAATTACACTTAGCTCTAGCATAAGTTTCTCCTTTGAAAAAAAAAGTAATCAGAATTTAAAAAACTGACTTTTGCTAATTTACAATATTTCTTCTGCGGAAGAAAGTCTGTGATAATTCCTGTGTAAAGTCCCCAGCCTATGGAGGCTGCAAGCTTAGATTACTTGTGATGAAGCCAATGGCTTTATTTGATTAAGAAGCTTCAGAGCATGAGTCTGTGGATTGAAGGATTTGCTCAGTGCTTGGTGCAATTGTCTTTGGATCGCAGCCACAACAATCTGAATCCACTGAGCTTTCTATGAGCCTGGTAGCTATGAGCCCTGTGGCCTTCCTTCGCATCTTTGAATTGCATCAGACGTTAACCTAGAGTTGGACTCCAGTCCAAATCAGTCCCATGCCAAAAACGAAAGCTGAGAAACTCTGATTGCTAGATCAACAGTTTAAAATCAGGGAGCCTCAGTTTCAGCTACATGGACTTTATGTTTGGGGTTTGTACCCTACAGCTGGCTCAGACTATTTCTTTTTCTATTCTGTTTGTGATGATGATCGTTTTTGGAGCTTTTCCCTAAAATGCAAGTGAAAGTGGCTTTGGATAGCTGTGTGATAACAACGATAAAGTCTTACCCTCCTTGATGGTGAGGTAGTCATATCTGTTTTTGAGTTATAAATAAAACCTCGAAGGCTGATGGGATGTCGGTGATATATGCAGTTCTTGCTGAGGTCAATTTAATTGCTTGTGTGTATTATTAACAAGAGAATAAGCTCTGCTTTTACTATCATTAAATGTCATCATAACATCCTCATAAATGTTTTATTATGCATCTTATGGCATTATTTACTTGTAATCAGAAAGCTGCTTTGGAGCAGTGTTAACAAATCCCAGTTTGAGTGTGATAATTGCTCTCAGTCACCTCATGGTGCCATTTTGTCTGTTTTTAATTTAATAGCTGGGATGAGCTGTTATGGATACAGGTGGTACAGCAGTGTAGCTGTTACCACAGTCACTTAACAGCAGAACGGTCTCTAGCTCAAATCTTCATCTGTTATGGAGATTATTTTTGTAAAGGTGTTTCTCTTTGGTTTTCCCTCAAAGTTCAGATCACATGAATATAATTTATCCTTATTATTTTCAGTGCATCATTTGTCTAACTCTTGGATTATTGAGTTCTGAATTATTTTTTCTTCATATTTTAAACCAAACTGAAGCAACCTTGAAATCAATTAGTATAATGACCGTAAATAAATAAACTGCCACAATTAACTCTACTGAACTTTCTGAGTTGGGGATGACATGAGGAACTGTTTGTATTTATATCTTGGAAGAGGTAAACCTAAATTTGTGTAAAAGTCATTTAAATAGCATTTAAATGCAAAGTAGATATGCAGTAGTGCAATAGAGGCATAGCTTTTTTTATCTGAAAAGAACAGAACTTTTCTATAAATCAAACGCAAGCTTTTCCTGGGCACGTTGTTTGCAGCATATTGGGTCAGTCTGCTACTGCATATATATGATGCAGGCTTAATTTCTGCACCCGGCCAGTGAATTTGGTTACAGTCTTAATATTCAAAGCCATCTGCCTAATCTCTGAGAAAGCAGGAATGTGCCTGCATTGGCAGAATATGCACAGACATATAAATGCAAACATAGCCACATACTAATGAAGATCTGTTTTTCAATTGCTTGGCCACCAAGGAGAGTGTTTATTTATTCCATAAAAGCTGCATTGCTGCATATGGTCTGACATCTTTCTAGATATGTGCTGGATTCAGAGCTTCGATGTCTTTTCTTTGCTTTAGAAACTCAGAAACATTGTAGATGCATGAGTCCTGTGAACTTGTATTGTTTGGTACATGAGGCACAATCATTTGGTAATGATTATAATAATCATTTAATTTTCTTAATGGGAGGGAAAACAAAACAACTGACAAATAGACATACTTTAATTCTCTGCTTTAATGTTTTCCAAATTCATTTGACCAACACATGCTGGGATGATTTTTTTATTACATTGATTAAAAGTTTACATTGAATGATTATGAATTCTCAAATATTGAGACACATTAAGTTTGGTTCAAAATGCCTCTATGTCCCTGTAGTAAAAGTTTATCTTTTACTGGTGTGTTATATGTGTAACTACCACAATTCATTTGCACAGTTAAATGTTCCCTGCAGTTTTGCAACACATTTGAATGCTTGTTTAAAACACTGCTTATGTGTGTTAATGCCCAGTAACAAGATTCACCTCATGACAAAGTTAAGCTGCTATTATTCTTTCGCTTGCAGGATATGACAGTTTATCTAAAAATGTGTCACATGTGGGTCTTAATATGACGAAATGAAGCATCGTTTGTAAAACATCAAGTAATATCACATCTTTGAAGTCGTATTTAACTTTTGATTCACCGGCGTTTGATTGTTATAGTTTGATGTATTAGAATTTAGGTTGTAAAAATAATTTTTCAGTTCAGAGTATGAAAGTTTTACAGAGGAGGTATGATATCATGATATCATGTTAAAACCTGATATCATGTTAAAATGTCATTTTGTCATCAAAAACATACCCGGAGTGAATCCCACACAAGGCTCCTGCAGACTAGTGGCAGCAGCAGTTATCCAGAGTTTCTTCCCCATGCAGTGAAACTGCTGTAAAACAAAAAACATTTTATCTACACTATTTTTAGCAAATAAAAAAAAAGGTTATACATTTAAAATTAGTCAGTGTTTTTTTTTATGTATTTATTTGTTATGCACATAAATAACTAAAAATTATTCAGATTCTTCTGAACAATTGTATTTGGATTTGTTTGATTCTCTGTTCTAAATGATTAAGACTTGGTTCTGCTTCTTTTATTTCAGCATATCTTTTTATCTGGAGCATGTCAGAATGTATTATAACTTATAATTAAGGAGCCCCATGTTTTATTGATAAAAAGTCTCATGGTTTTTGTTCACTCAGGCTTATTCTCTGAATCAGCTCTTGTTTACGCTGTCAGTATTATTCTTAGATTCCCAGCAGATCTACTGTATCCTCCCAAATGTCTCTGCAGAGACATTATAATAGTGCTGCTGTTGTTTTGCTGTCAGCTTGTTAATCATCCTATGAAAAAAAAAAAAAGAGGATTGTGCTGTTGACACACATAGTAGAGAAGTATTGCTCAGAAATGAGGCACACTAATAAGACAGATATAGTCCTGTTGTTGTGGAGAATGTTGCATCAGCAAAAGACAAACAAGCATGATTCTCCATTTCCGGAGTCAGTAGTAACCTGTTCCCATATGGTTTTCATCCCAGAGGCTGATGTTTTGAAATCCCAGCATGGACGCCTGTCTGAGTCAACCTTCACCAAGGCATTGACAATTTTCTTTCCCCTTCATATATCTTCAACTCTGAGTGTTTTTGTCTTGAGTAAACCCAAATGATCTCCCACTCTGCAGCTTCTCAAGCACCCAGTCTGAGCTCTCCATCACTTTTTCATGGATCAAATTAAAGCCAATATGACTGCTGTGCAATCTGGAATTGTTTGTTGTTTGATACATTAATGAAATGCCAGAGCAGTTATGCAGATGCTTAAGTGAAGTATTTTGTCATATCCAGATTTGGAGCTCATTGTATTACAATTATCATCCAAGGGTTGCTATGGAGAACTATTCTACTATTAAGAAGCTCTAAGGGTCACTGTGTGTGCATTATTATCTATATTAGCTAATCTCTGGCTTGTTCTTCATTTTTACATGAAGGTAGTACAGGTGGGTAATTAAGCTGCTTTGTGTTTTGGTTCATTTATTTTGTTTGATTAAACATAATTATATTCTGCTCAGTTTAAAGTAGCTGACATTTAAGGTAAGATTTATTTATTCTTGTTTTTGCTCCAGAAACATCATACATTTAAAATAATTCAAAGAATAATTCTTTGTGAGAAATGATTATTTTGCCCTGATATGTTTCTCAAATGTTTCTCTTCACGTCATGAATCTTTGAGTCTGACGCAACAGTGACTGTTTTAGCTTTTTATCATGCTATGTTAGACCATCATCAAAAACATACCTGGAATGTTGTTTAGATTCTTTTATGAATCTTTCAGGAATCTTTGAATTGTCTTTGGCAGACTTTTGGGGATGCCTAAGCTTTTTCTTATACAATGCACCAAAGCTCCAACTTGAAGCTCCAGTCTCCACCCACAAAGCCTCCACCACACAGCCCCTCCAGACTAGCTGCAGCAGGATACCAAACATTTAGTGCAGGTATCTGATTTAGTGGAACTGTGTGTCTGCTGAGCTTATCATACAAACGACTTTTCAATTCAATGCTCCAAAGAATGGTTGTAAACAGCATTCTGGAGGGGAGCCTTCTTAAAGTGACAGAGACCAATTTCTGTGATATAAAGCT